GACTCGTGAAACAATTTCAGAAAAGCGCTTTTCAAAGAATATAGTCTTAAATAAAATGAATTTTTCAAACGGTCAAATGACCGCTCGTGGTAGACAAGACATGCTATGGATTTTTTTCAAAAAGTAAACAATAAAAAAGTTGAGAATATTAAAAAATGGGTTGTATGTATATTATAGGAAAAGTCAAGAAGCTACATGGTGATACAGTAACGTTGTACAGGAAAAATTCTAATCGCAATTTCAAAAACGGTCATTTGACCGCGCATTGTAGGTTTAGTGTTAATATATATATGTAAGATTTCTTTATTCATATATATATATATATTATTTTTCTTTATTTGAAATAAATAATAAGAGAAAGAAGGTATGTTCGTTTAACGTTAAATAAAATCAATCGAAAATATTTATTTATTGATAATAATGAATTAATTAGAATACTTTTACGTATTTGTTAATACAAAGAAAGAGATAGAAACGAAATATACTTAAATGCATTATTTCTACGTGGCAATTATCGTTATATAGTTTTTAATAAATAATAAGAATAAAAGAGGATTGATAAAAAGTAAATGTAAAAAAAGTTTACAATAGATAAATAAAATTTATTTGAATTAACTGTTTAAATTGATTAACTCGAGTATTACTATGTTGCATTTGTGAATCTATAGAAAGAAGGAATGAATGAAGGAAAGAAAGAAGGAATAAGAGAAAAGTAACTCTTTTCGATCGTTGTTCTATTCGGTTTGCGAAAAACAAACACTCTTATTTTATCTTCCCTTTATTTTTTGTTTTTTTTTCACCTCCTTTCCTTTTCTTTTTCGAGACTCGTTTTTTGTCCGGACGATTTTCTTCTTCCTCCATTCCTTCTTTCTTTCCCGTCGTGTTTTTACCCGTGGAATATTACAGGTCTCGTGTAAATAAGAACGTTGTTCTCTCCTTCTAACGGCGGTTAAAATACTTCGCCGAGTAAGTAAACTAAAGTTTAATTTCTTTCTCGAGCACCACCACGGTGGACTCACTTTTCCGCTTAATTCAGGGGAGGAGATACGAGGGTTACGTTCAAGGAAAAAAGTATTGGAGGGGTGGAGAAAGGGAGTGGGGACGGAAGGGAAAAGAGAAATGATAGTGGTTAAAATAACACCGTAGATACAATTGTTCATGTTTACGATCACTTATTTTCGATTTTTTTGCCAATTCTCTTTAACAATTAGTCCATATCCCCTACTCAAATGATTAAACATACGTTGGAGAAGTATTAACAATTAATCTTTGAAATTTATTCACGTGAATTTACGAATAGAAATAAATTAATTCAAAATTAATGCAAAGGATTGTTCGCTCGATAAAGTAATTAATCACATTTTTGTACTTATTGTCGTTTCATATCGTGAGATAAATAAAATATTAAAAAAAAATAAAGAAATCAAGAAAAGAAAATATTAGTTAGCCGAATAAATCGACAGAATATGAGAAAATATATTGGATTGAGATATCCATATCGATATTCTGGATTGGTAGTGACATTGAGCTGTGTTCTCGGATTGTTGGAAGCAAAATATAAAGGGCATCTATCCCTCTGCAGTTGGTGTCAGCCTATTGGGAGGAAAAGGGCTACTGGTATTTCAGAGGTGTCGTTGATACACGTCACTACACACGCTCGACCCCACGTACATATGCATGTACATACACATACACAAGTACATACATATATACATACATAGATATGCGAAGCGTCGATGCATTATTCAAGCGGAACACGAGCAATACCACGTGTGTTGCTTCCCTCTTGCCTGTCGAGTTGTCCCAAAACTCAGAGAACCCAACCAGCTACACGGAGAGCAAGAGGAATAGACAGAAAGATAAAAACAGACAGCGAGAAAGAGAAAGAAATAAAAGAAATGGTATGAATGGTGGTGGTTTTTGATATCATGGAAAATGTTAGAGCCAATGTTACTTCAACAAGAGACTCCACCCGGTCTCTGCCTTCATTCAACGATATTCACGAGTGGAGTGAGAACGAGAACACAAAAATCTTGCTTTTCTCTCAAGGATACCAAGCCAACTTATTACAAGCCCAACGAGAATCCCTTTTTTATTTTCACCGATCGATATCCACTTCCTGTATAGTACCAGTTACTATGCCTTCTTGTAATACCTATGGAGAATCTTTTCGAGTCTCTCTCACTCTCTCTCGCTTTCTCCTTCTCTCTCTCTCTCTCTCTCTCTCTCTCTCTCTATTTCTCTCTCTTTTTCGTAATTGGCTACTTGAGAGAAACTAGAATGGGCACGTGAATCGAATTCGGATTCGCAGGTGGTCGTCAGTGGTTGCTCGAAAAGCTTCCTGTATGTATTGGTTAAGTAAGTATCAAAGTGCCTCCTTGGATTCTTTCCCTTCCATCCTATTCGTTCAACCATCTCTTCTGTCTTTCTTTACTACGATATATATCTCTCTATTAAAAAAAATAAAACAACAAATAGGAAAAAAAACAGTACACGAATTCTATAAGCCCGAATAAAATTATCGTTATTGACTCTCTTTCATTTTGTAACAATGGAAAGGTATTATTATTATTATTATTATTATGATTATATCTTTCTCTATTGATACATTTTTCAATATAAATTTTATATTTGCTAATTGTTCAAATACCTACCTACGCATATCATTGACATTAATTCGATTCGATGAGTGAAAATGTCCGTACGAAAAGTTAATGAATAATAAGGTAAATTAATCTGCTAATTATTATCCGATATTGTTATTCCAATTCCCTTTTGTATAGGTAAATGTAAACAAAACAAATACATCCAAACGTGACGTTTGAGTATCGATGATTGTAGTTCCCGTAATGGAAAGTAAAAGAAATAATTATAAATGAAATATTTCGTAAATATAATGCGAGAACAAAATTAGTTTTTGAAATAATGTTCGATGTAATATTGAAATATTTGTCTTATTAACTGATAATGGTAATAAAAAAAAATTTTTAATCACGCGATCAACGAGCGATACATTTATTTCCCTCCGTCGAAAATTCTCTGAACAATTGACTTTATATTTATTTAGCAGAGTACTATTTTGTTAGGAAATAAAAAGAAAGAATTCTTGTTTGTTCCATTTGAAAGAATAAAGATATTACTAGTCAAGGCTACGCAGTAGGTTTCTTATTCTAAGGTGGGAGGGTTGGGGCCACAAAATTTCAGAAAAAAGCTGTAACTCAATATTGCTAACAAGAAGAAGAAGAATGAAGCGGCTTTTGCTCGTTAAAGGCCTCAACATCGTGACGAAAGGAATAGTATATTGCATTACTTAATCTGTATTAAAAGTGTACATTTTAATCCTCCTATTTAAAACGTATTAAAAAATATCTTACATGTAACCAAAACTATATCCTTTCTTTTGAAACAAAAAAAAGATAGGGAAATAAAGAATTCCCTTTCTTTTTCTTTCATTTTTTAAATTAACGCGCGCATCTTACGAAATAATTAAATAAAACTTAAAAATTAGAAAAAATAATTAATAACGAAAAACGAGAGAATTTAATTAAAATGAAAAAAAAACAAATGTAAAATTTTACGTTTAAACGTAGAACAGTATACTAAATATAAAGAAAATAAATGGGCCAATAAAATCAAATGTTTTGTTTGTGCGTGTGTGGTTGGTTGTAGCTTACACGCTTCGTAGAATTTCAGAAATCGGGAAGACCAAGGAGAAAAGTTTCTTACAAAGAAATCACAATGATAAGAAAAAGACGAGAAGAAAAGCACAAGGGTGGATGCGTTACGGAAAAGCGGAACGCGTTTCGTCGGTTACGGAAATACGAATAAATCGTTGGACCGTGTCACGGGTGTCTGATGTTTACGACCGATTCTACTGGATGATTCGCATCGATGATTCGATGATAAGTTGTCCCGTTCCGATACATTTTTCTCTACCTATATATATATATATATATATATATGTATATAAACGTTGAATGGTTAAAAAGAGAATAATAAATATAATTAAATACAATTAAAATATAAATAGTATTGGTAATATTATTATTTTGTTTTTAATATATTATTTTCCTCTCGAACAGAGAGACGTATGAACAATGGGGTAGTATGATGCGTCGGTACAATTGCTGGTATTCCAAAAACTGAGAGAGACAAACGTTTATATACCATATATATATTTATATACAGATATAGAAAGAGAGATAAAGGTCGGAAATCTTGAGTGTATTCGTGCAACGAGAAGGTACGAAAGTCCCGTGGAAACAATTAATCTAGCCCACTGATTACTCTACCGACTTCGTCGGCACACCCCCACCATTCCTCCCTTCTTCCTTCCCACTCTTCCATCCAGACGTCAAAACTCGAGATATTAATATGTTCTCTTGGATGGCAGAGAACGGAAGTCACCTTTCTCTCTATTCCTTTCTCTCTCTCTCCCTTTCTCTCCCCTTTTCTATATCTTTCTCTTTCACTCTTCTGGAAATCCCTTCAAACTTCCCATTCTCCTTTTACATCAACACCTGCCCACTAAGTCCGGGAATATCCACTTCTGATTAAATTATTATTGTCTGTACCCTTTGAGCAGTCCATCCTTTGTCCTTTCGTCCATTACGATCTGACGTTCGGAATTTCAAATATTTCCTTCTCTCACATTGATATGTTCATTGATAAATATATTGATTTATATGTTTCGTGATGAATTTGAAATTAAATCTGATTAGTTTCTTTATTGAATTATCTAAACATACTTTTTAAAATTTGATTGCGAAATATTTTGAAAAGATTTACTTCTAAACGAATTGCACCAACGTAAGACACTCAAGCTCATAAATAAATGACTAAATTGAATGAAATAATTGTTATAAATTTCAATTAAGGAGATAATATATTAAGCATTTAAAAATATAACGAAGAAAGAGAATCTTAAGACATATTCAAGGAAGGAAGTAGTTGTTGTTTAAAAAAAAAAAATTGGTTAATAAAAATATGATAGAACTTACCAACGACATGTAGATATCCATATTGCGTCTTCGCCGCGGCCGTATTAATCTGGCACATGTACTTTCCCTTGTCATCCTGGTGCACGTTATTGATATGTAGGTACCAGGTTGTGTGCTCGTCGTGTGACACAGATATTCTGGGGTTCCTGGTAATAACGTGATTTTGTACCGTCAGAATGGCGCTCTTGTCGAAGAGCATCCAGGCCACCTAAAACGAGAGAGACAGAGAACGACAGAGTTCTCGATTAAACTACTTTTCCTTTTCACCCTCTACCCCTAACTACTACTACTCAACCCCAACCCTAACCCCAATCCTGATCCCAACCCCACAAGCCCCGTTCCTAGCCCGACCACCATCATCCTCCTTTCTGCTGTTTCGAACTTTCCCTATTACAAAACTCGACGTCATCGAAAGAATATTTATGCGTATTTACAAAGGAATTTTTCCATTGTTTCCTTATTCCGATACTTTCTATTCTTATTTCCTTTCTTCTTTTTTTTTTTTTCTTTTTTACTTCTCTCAACATGCTAACGATCAAGCAGAAAATTTAGCTTGAAAGTAAACGTTTGAAAACGATCCTAAGAATGTCTTATTATATTTTTAAACAAATGCTTGAGGAATACTTGGAGGAAAAATTCTAACGCATATTGCGTTGCGTTATATTAAAGAAATATTTGCCATCAAAATTTTACCGTAGTTTTGTTCTTCACTGTTTTGGGAGCTCTTTTGTTTTCTTTTTTTTCTATTTCTTTTATGTTTCCAAACATGTTAACGGTCAGGATGAGATTTTATTTGAATATTCGCTCTCGCGAATGATCGTAAAAATATTTGTTTACAAAGAAAATTTTTTCCGTGGTCTCAGGTTATGTTAAACGATTTATACAAAAATGAAATGAAATTTAATAGTTAAGTAAAATCGCAATTATATCTAACTATTTTAGGAAAAATGTGTGGGAAAGAGTATAGGATAAAAAACAAATATACATATATTGTATGTTATGTGACTAACGAAAACGGATATCCACACTTTTTTTCCCCTTCCGAGAACGCTTCAAAGCACGGAGATCATTTAAAAGCAACACGTTCTATTCACTTGGACCGGTGTATTTAACAATGGGCTTTCTTTGTAACAATAGATTCTGTATTTTGTAAAGCGAGTCCATGGAATTTGTGACAAACCAAATGTAACAATAGCACGTGAGATATTCGTGCAATACAAAAAAATATACACAATCATCACGTTCAAAGTTTGTATTTTATAGATTGTATAAACTGTCTCTCTCTTTTAATATTTCTTTTTAATATTTTAAATTATTTTATCAACTTTTAAGATAACAATTTATTTTCTTTTATTTAACATATTGTATTTTACATTTTTAATTATATATATATGACCCATAAAAAAATCAAAAATCAGTATTTCGATACAACCCCAAACGCATTGTCAAATTTGAAGTATAAAACTTGGTAGATTTTGAAAGTTTAGAAAGATGTAGTACGCATAGACGGATTTCTAGATGATCTATGAAGACTCCGCAAGAATATGGATATGGATAGGGTGGATGGATCACTTTTGGTAACGTCTAGCGTTTCCCGAGAATATCCGAGCCGTTTTACGAGTAAAGTTTCTTATCGACGAACAGGATGGCGATGCTTGGCATCAACAAACGCGGATGAACAAACACGCTTGTTTCGGAAGAAACTACCTTCTTCAAATGGCACGAGCATGCGATTCAAAAAGCCCTCAGATTTAGAGATAAACAAATGTTTATATCAATATTTCGTTATATTATTAGAATACACAAAAGATTATTAATTTGTTTAATATTATATTCTAATTATGTGAACAATATTTTATATTTTTTTAAGATACAAATTTTTAATTATCAAAAATAAATTAATAATAATTTTCTATGTTTATATAAATAGCCTTAGTATATGATATTGGATTATTTTCTTTTTTAAATAAATAAATAAATAATATCGTTTCTTAACATTTGGATATTAATACGAATCGATATAAATCTGGACGTTTCACAAAATAAGATAAAAAAAATCTTTTTGACGAACAGTCTCGAGAGCAGGAACATATGTACGAAGGAGTAAAAGAGATGAAGGGGTGAGGAAGGTGTTACACATTGAGAATCGAAAATTCGCCTCTTCGAGAGTTTAGGGTTTGTAGAGAAACTCGTCTGAAAGTTCATGAAATATTTATATTTGCCTGCTTTTCTTTAAGAGGAAAGTAAAGATAGAAAAAAGAAACGACGAACTGTGTGTATCCATGTATATGTACACATGTATGCATGTATGTATGAGTATATGTGTGGTTGAAAAAAAAAGGAAAGAAAAAAAGAGAAGGAGAAGGAAGAAGAAGAGAAGGAGGAGGAAAAGGGAATAAGAGAAAAGGAAAAGAAAAGAACACAGAGAGAAGAGAGAAGAAGCGTAGAATTTTGATCATTTTCTCTGTTGAAGCCTCTGGAGAAATAAAAGGAGACGGCAAAACTCTCGAGTCGATGTTTCTCGTTCTAGTTGGGTGCAACATTGTTACACTTTCCCAACGAAATATAGTTTTTATTGGGAGATGAACTACGAATAACTACAAAGATTACGATGGGGAGTTAGAAAACGGGGAATGAAGGAATACGAAATAGTTTCCACTGTAGATGTCAGACCGTTAACAAGAATTATTATTATTAAGGATAAATATTGTTCCTAAAGCACAATTTATATAAAAAAAAGAAAACAAAGATAATTAAGCTATAAAGTTATCGGGAAATGTTTGACCCAATCCTATATTGCCAATCAATTAATTTTAACAGCCTGATATTAGCGCGCACTGTTTAATAGACCGTGTATCGGCAGATAATTCGAACAATTAATATTAACAGGTAATATTAAGAAACAATGTAAATGGTAAATGACCATAACTCATCAATCATCGATATCACATTATCTCTCCTCGTTACTATTGGTTGTATTAATAAACGATGATTATAAAACTTAAATAAATATTCAAAACCAAAATGGAGATTTATTTAAAAGCATAAACATGTAGATGCTTCAATAATAAATCTGAACATGACGTATCGTCGGAACATCGATCTTTGCAAGGATGGTGACGTTAAAAATCGGTAAACCATTATAAGGGCTTGTGCTGGAGCTTTATACAAGCTCGACATTCATCTCGATTTCGAATTAACCATCCTTGACGCGTCTCAAAAGCACCAAGCACTACTATCACCATCACCATCACTATTACTAGCACCAAGAGTAGCAGTAGTAACAGCAATAGCAACAGCAGGCAAGCTTGCTTAGTTGCTTGCTTGCTTGCTTCGGCGTTTCATTTCATCCATACACCCATAGAACCTTCGTCACGAACGATTGACCTCGACTGAGCGATGCCAAGAGTTCTACAGGTTCTACTCCCCATCGATAGTAGTTCCTCCCCAAGCGAGCTTCATCGGTCAAGTTGGCTAGTAAGTACTTAAACCAATCGAAGATTGTTACACAGCAACGTTACTTCGATAAAAAATAGTTCATTTCTTTCTTCACTCTACCCAATCACATCGATATCCCCCATGACGAGACTCGATTTAGAACGTGATGGTTCTCTTTACTGTCTTTATTATATTATATTTTTCTAACTCTTTCCTTTTTTTTTTCTTTTTTTCCCCCTTGCGTTTTTTTTCTACATACATACTTTTATATCTCATTTGAGGGACAACGAAATTATCTAGAATTTTTTTTTATATTTTTGGATACCATTAAAAAAACTTTATGACTTTTATTATTTTATTTATCATATATTATTCTATATTTCTTCTAACGTTATATCATATATATTTTGTAGAATATTTTCAATGTTCAAATTATTAAAAAATAAAAATTATTTGAAATTCTAATCTAAATATGTATTATTATCATTCAATAGTAATCAATAAGTAAAGTTTAATATCTAAAAGTTGTTATTATTCTGTACATCGATTAATATTTGATGATGTTTTTAGTTCGGGTAAACTAATCAGAAAATGTAATTAAAAGTTTTTCTACATAATTGATTAATATTTGACTAAAGTTATGGAAATTAATTTCTCTACATGGTTGAAAATAAAATCAACAATATTTATATATATTATTTCGTTTTCATCTTTATGTACGTAGATACGTACGTATGCATGTATGCGTTTATAAACCCATCAAAAGTCGAATTAATTATGATATTACATGAAAAGCTTGACGGACAAATAATTTTCCATCATTTTGTATTTACTTTTTGAAATAATATAATTTCTTTGAAAGAGTTAAATTGATAAATGTGTGTGTGTGTGTGTGTGTGTATAATAAATGTGTGTATGTGTATATTTTTAAATTCTCTAATTTGATTTCCGTTTACAAATATTGTATCTTTTACTTCTGCATTACGAATTTTTTCCTCCCCACGATTTTATTTAAATATTAAATAAAAATTTATTTAATTATAAAGAAAAAAAAATAAATATATATGATCTTCATGTATCATAAAAATGAAATTTGTATTATCACGTATTATCATTGACTTTTAAATGAAATGTGTGTATGCACTTCATAAAATATAATATAACTCATATAATTCTTTAATTTACTTATTAATATATTATTATTTTTATTTCTTTAAATATTATAAATTCAAAGTTTTTCATTCTATCTAACAATAAGCTTTATTCAATCACGAAGGGCATTAAAATCAACTGTATGCACTCTATAACGTGACCTAGAAAACGTATAACCGGAAAAAAAGAAAAAAAGAATTGTGAGAAATAATAAAACAAAAGAAGTAAGTTTACCATGGGGATTGTTTACCGAGACTGGCCGCAGATTCTTTTCCTTTTTGAATTCTTCGTGATTCTCGCACGAATTCACTTGATGATTAAGAAACTTTCGCCAAAAGGGAACGACTAAACAAAAAAATCAACGTTCTCTTTATATTTCGTAAATATATACATTCGAAAGAAGAACTTTTAAATTATGCGATTATACACTTTAACATCGTCAGACGATTTCGACTCGCTTTTTAAAATGCGTAACTCAAAACTACGATACTATTGAGATTTATTAGCTCCCACGTCCTTATACTTTTAAACAAAACTCGATTCAAGGTCACGTATTTTTTTATTATATTAATTATTAATGATTTGTAAGTTAACGTTCGCATTATTTATTCTTTTTAT